AAAAAAAGGAGGGAGCCATAGGACTGGAAAAAAACAAAACAAAACAGTGACTGCCACAGGAGAGCAAGGTAGGAAGTCCTGGAACACAGCTGTGCCTTGGGTCAGTTGAGCCAGATCAAGGCAGGGAGATGGAGGCCCCAGGGATGTGTGTCCAAGAGTACTAGGGGCATTAGCAGTCTGTTTCAGGACTAGTACATTTGAATAACCTGAGGGTATGTTGAAGGCTATTATTCTTTTCTTTGGGAAAAACAAAGGCAATGCAAAACTCCGGGGAAAACAAAAAGTTAAAAAGAAAAAAAATTTTCTTTTGGTTTTGTTTTAAGAATTGAACCCAGGGAGCACTGAGCCACCTTCCCAGCCCTTTATTAAAATCTTGAGAAAAGATCTCACTAACCTGTCCTGGTCAGCCTTGAACTTGTGATCTTCCTGGCTCAGCTACCTGGGATTATGGCGTAACCCTAACCTGGAGGGAACGAGACAGGTTCCACCCAAATTAAAGGTGAAAATTCACCTGATGTACGAAAAGAGAACACATTTCACCTTGATGTGAGACTGTTTTCAAGGGCTTAAGGATCAAACGTTGGATCCGAAAAGAAGTATTTCTATGTGGTAAATAATAGCTTTTTGGTTTTGGTTTTTGTGATACAGACTAAGAGTAGGAAGTTCCTTTTCTCTCTCTCTCTCTCTTCCACTGGACCCTCTTCCTCGGGGCTAGACAGGGCCTTCTGCTCACCTCCCAACCCACAGGAGGAGACAAGGGGAAGCCTACTAACCCTGGGAGGCAGGGAGGTCACAGCTGGGTGTGACACCTCCAGAGAGGGGATGAGAGGTGCCCAGGCAGTGCTGCGCCCACTTCTGCACTGAGGAGAGACAGGAGCTCTGGTATCAAGCTCCAGAGCTTGTATTCTTGGGCCCCTCCAGTTACACCTGCTGCCCTGGGGAAGGTGGGTGCCCTCTCAGTGTATTAACCAGGGTGTGATTGGGAAAAGAGCTCCCCCATCTGCACAAAGTAGGTATTTCAGGGACACATCAAATGTTAATTTGAAGCCAGGGTGGTGGTGCACACCTGTAATCCCAGCATCTGGGAGGCTGAAGCAGGAGGATCACTGCAAATTCAAGGCCAGCCTGAACTATATAGCAAGATGCACTCAGAACAAAACAGAAATCTTGAGGTTACATTTAAACACTCGATTTTAGGTTTCTCTTAAGTAAAATCACAAAGCCATCTGGGCTTTGGTGTCACAGGCCTATCACCCAGCACTTGAAGGCTGAGGCAGGAGGATTGCAAGATCAAGCTGAGCCTGGGTAATTTAGTGAGATGTGCCTCAAAGAAATAAAAAAGGGCTGAGGATGTCACTGGGTGTAAAGGCCCTGAAAAAAAAAGGCCTGGAGCCACAGGGTCACCTTTCCGGTGACTGCAACATCTGAGACAGCCCTGGTCCCGCAGATGGCTGTCACAGCAGGGGTAGGACTCTGGTGGCAGACTTCCCCCGGGGGCTGCATCCTCGCTAGGGGAAGCCAGGCTCCCTGGCCTGATTCTCAGATGTCGCCACTTCCTGCAGGTGTGGCTGGCGAGGACACCACCTACGCGCTGCCTCTCCTGGGGACCTGTCCTGACTGCCGCATCCCAGAAAGCAGCGAGGCTCCTGCCAGGTGATCCAGCTCCTCATCTCTGGCTCTGCCCAGGGTCCCTGGGGGTGGGGGCCGCAGGCCTGGGGCTCTTTCACACTAAGTCCGCAGGCCATGTTGGGGAATGTGAGTCCGGCACACTCGTGGAAAAGGCAGAAGGCCTAGGAACCCGGCCCCTGCCTGGCACTGCCCGGCAGACCTTGGGCCGAGGTTGGGGGCCCAGGCTTTGCTGACGCCCTCTCTGGGAGAGAGCTCTTTGGGAGCCCCCTCTCTCTGTGGCCGTAGTCACCCCTGCCTTATGCTTCTCTCCCTGCAGCACAGGCCCCACGCTGAGCCCCCTGGCGGACTCCGTCTCCACCAGCGCCCCTGTCTCCCTCTCCTCCACAGGGAAGCCCATTCTGGATCCAGGTAACTGTGGCTCAGCGCCCGGGTCTGGGGAGTCAAGGTCGACCCCAGAGTCCCGGCTTCTCCAGAAGAAGGTGGCTTTGTCACTTGATTATTCTTTAGTTTTTCTGAGCAGAGTTTTTTTTTTTTTTTTTTTCATGGCTTCAGTGCTGTGGCCCATGACTGCTACTCAGAAAAATACTTTTGGCAGGGTACTGGGGATTGAACCCAGGCCCTTTGCACTGATTTCTACCTGCTTGATTCCTTGGTGCCTCAGTTTTTTTGAGTGTGAGGCATAGACCGTGGAAGCTGTAAGCTCGGAGGGTGTAGCAGCCCAGTTACCCCACATTGGCAGTTGCTGTGAACTCAGGAAAGGCTGGCAGTTGTGGTTGACAACACTAGGTGGCGGTAGTTCCCAGGCCATGCTATTGGTTCCACACCCTCAAACTTTGTTCTTTTTTTTGTTTTTTTTGTTTTTTTTGTTTTGGTACTCAGGATCGAACTTGGGACCTTGCTGCTTGTGAGGCAGGCAGTGGAACCACTGAGCTAAATCCCTGGCCCAAACTTTGTTCTTTTGAATTTCAATTCCCTCTTCAGTTCTCCACGCCCCAGTTTCTCACCCTCAAAAGTTAAAATGGGTTTGTCTCTCGCAACGGGAAGTAGTTGACCAGTTTCTAGGAGCCAGGTGACGGTGGGGAAATGGGCAGGTGAGGGCTGGGTCAGGTACTGTTGTGCACGCCCGGCCCCAGGAGGAAGAGGAGGCAGCCTGTGGCCAGGGCTGTCCTGGGTGGTTGCGGTGGGGGCTCCGGGCCTGGCGCTATGGGGCAGAGAGAGTGCCCGGCTCTGTGTTGCAGGACCTGTGCTCTTCTGGGTGGCCGTGGTGCTGTCCGTGGCGCTGGCCTCCGGCTCCTTCCTCCTGTGCTTCCAGAGGGCCTGCAGGGTGCGGATTTGCCAAAGTGAGTGACTGTGTCCTTGCCTCCCCTGGGGGGCGCGCTCTGTGCCTTGGGGTCAGAGTCCCGCGCGCCCCACCCTCTGGGCAGCACCCAGCCCGCCTGGTGTCGTTGCAGAGCTGCACCTGTGCTACCCGACCCACACCTTCCGACCCGAGCTGGAGCGAGCAGGTAAGTGTGGGGGCCACCTGCTGGCTGTGGCAGGGGCGCATGTGGGACCAGGGCAGGGGCTCCCCTCCTCTCTTCACCTCTCCTTTGCCCTTCCTGCCTCCTTTGTTCCCTGTCCTCCCTTCCCGGATTCGCTTCTGCTGTCGGGCAGAGGAGCTGAGGGGTGTGGGAGAGCAGGGTGGGCTCACAGCCCTGGACTGGCTTTGCCACTGAGAGCCTCTTCCCAGCCTTGGCGAGTCGCTCCGGCCTCTGGGTCTTGGTTTCCCCCAGTGGGGCCTTGGACAGCCCAGGGAGGGCAGGTGGGGCTGAGCCCCGTGGGGCCGTGGTGCTGAGGCGGGGAGCACAGCCTGGAGCAGCTCTCAGGACGCGGGCTGTCGTTGTGCGGGACCACGGGACTGCTCCCTGTCCTCGTGGCTGAGCCCTTCCCAGCCTCCGGGTGCCCAGGCAGGCAGGGGCCTCGAGCTTGCACCTGCCCGGGGGTCTCTGCTGCCCGTGCCACCCCTTCCAGGCAGGGTAAGGGCTGCCTTGGTGCCCACTGTGTGCCGGGCCAGCAGGCGGACAGCCCGAGCCTCGCCCTCCGGGGTGCAGGAAGCTGCCCAGGGCCCAAAGACCCCTCCCAGGTTGCTCCTCACCTGGAGGAGATGGCTCAGAGTGGACAGCAGCCAGGCCACCCCGGCTCGGGCGCTGGTCCCCAGGAAGGCTGGCCCAGCTGCTGCCCAGCCGTCCCCATGTCCCTCTGCAGCCCCAGCTCCTTGCCTCTGACCGAGCGCTCCCCCTGACCCCCGAGAGCCTGGCAGGGGCCGACTGTTGACTTGGGCTCGAGACCCCAGTCCACTGAGGGGTGTTTTGAGGTTGATGAGTATCACAAGCGAGCACCGCGTTCCCTGTGCGAGGAGGGGCTGTGTTTTGATGGTTTCAAGCCTGTTTCCATGAGCTGTCAGGCCCCGTGTCTCATTGAAACTGACATTTGCTTTCTTGACATTTTTCTAGTATTAGAGTTTCCATTGCCGTCAGTTTATTTTTTTCTTTCGACTTTCGTGAGAGCAGTTTTGTTACCAAAAAACAAAAAGACAAAAAAAGCACCTTCCCTTAAGAGCTCAGAGCTCCAAGGTGTGGAGCCGGAGACTTGGGGACAGACGTTCTGTCTCAGGCCATTTCCGGCCCTTGATGTCTGGGGGTCCCTGGGGGTCCACAGACCCGAGATGGGAGGAGCAAGCATGAGGGTCCCAGAGTGTCCCAGGCTTTTGGACTGGGGGCTCGAAGGGGCTAAAGATGACGAGATGGGCACCTCCAGGGCCTCTGTGAGGAGACGCTTGCCCCCCACGATGTGTGTCAGAGATGTTCAGCGCCGTCTCCCGAACTGCTGGGACTTTACCGCAGGTGTCCTCGGTGGCCACCATTTGCAAAGCTCACAAGCGATCTTGCAGTACTTGAGGCATTTACACGTCTGCCTGCGTTTCACGGCCAAGCAGCCTGAGACCCAGGAAGACAGAGATGCCCGTTGAAGACCACCGCTTAGCAAACAGGAATTTGCCATCACTGTTGTTGAGATGTTTGAAAAAAGGTTCCTCGCCCCCAGCAGTGTTGACAGTGAGGCACGTGGAGGACACAGTGCCCTGTGGGTTGGTTAGCAGCTCACCGCTGGTGCCCCTGTCCCCGGCTGTGATGATGGAAAATGTCCCAGGGGCCCTGGGGAGAGCTAGCTCTGGTTGAGAAGCACCGGTCTGAAGTTCTTTCAGGTTAATGTGCACTTGAGTCGTTGCCCTGCCTGTTATTCCAGGAAGATTGAGGTTGAGAAATTCGGAAGTGATTTCAGACTCACAGAGAGTTGCAAGCATCATGCAAAGAGCTGACTTTTCCCTGAACCATTTCATGAGGAGCTTTCAGATTGGGTGCCTCATGACGCCTGAATACCTCAGTGTGTACCTCACACAGACAAGGGCGGATTTTTACCCGACTGTTTTTCAAGCGTCAGAGTCAAGGAACTTGTGGTGATTCATTGCCACCAACCAGTTCCCAGTCCTGACCAGGGTTCTTCATCCGTCCCCATAATGTCCTTCACAGCAGGAGAGCCCAGTCTAGGAGTGAAGGCCGCCCCTGCTCGCCTGGTCTCGGGAGTCTCCTCCCATCCTACCTTCCCTTTATTGGCCTTGATGCTTGGGAGCGGGCTGGCGACTTGGCAGGTGCCTCGACTGTGGTGTGTCTGGCAGGTTGAGTGTCTTTGGCCAGAAGATCCCAGAAATGATGCTGGGTCCCGGGGCATCCTGCCAGGCCTCCCCATATTCCTTTCCTGGCACCAGGGCCAGGCTCCTGCACTGGGAGCCTCCCTTCTTCAGTGACCAGTGACGGCTTTAAATGCCATCACCTGCTGTTTATGAGCCTTCATTTCCTGCATCTGCACAGCTACATCCGGGTGGACTCCAGGTCTCCTGTGTGTCCTATGTGTGTCCAGGACTCCTGTGTGTTGCTATCCAGGAGAATCTGTTACCATCACTGGCACAGATGATTTGGTCACTGGTCACAGGGTTCCCGTGTCCTTGTGGTGTCACCCATCCTTGGTTCCTTGGCATTTCTTCATTCTGAGAGGAGCCCGGCCTGTCTGGGCCTCTTCTGCGGGAGTCACGGCCAGAGGGGATGGCGCTGGAAGGGGACAATGTCAAGGATGGAAGGGGGCAAGATCTTTGCATCTTGTGTGACCAGAACTCATGTGGTCACCTTTGGAGGAGCCCCTGGGACATCAGGGCTACCAATACCTGGGCTCAGGTCTTGGGTGGCAGATGGGTTTCCAGGAAGATCTTGGTTATTTCAGAAGGCAAGAGAACTAATAGATGAAGACAAACAGACTGAAGCAATGCTTTTAGGGGAAAAGTGCTTGTGAAATCTGCCCTCTGCCCTCAATGAGATTTGCTTTGGTCTTTATCAGAGCCCTGGAAGACCGTGACAGGTCCACAGGCAGAGACCGGACCCTCTGCATTCTGCCTTTTTTCCTTCATGCTGTTTTATGCTCGGTTCCAAGCATTGGTACCTGATGCTGGCTTTCTGTTCGGTGTGACAAGTGCCTCCATGGTGGCCTCCTGGTTCCCTACCCCACCCCATGCTAGTAACACCCTGAGTATCTTTCCTTGGTAATGTTTTAATGGGAAAAAATAATTCTAAAGAGACTTCAATTTCCTGAGTGTTGAAGAAGGTAGTACAGAGAGTTCTCCCGGTTTCTTCTTTTCTTACCATCTACATCAGCGTGGCACGTTTGTCACAGTACATGGGCCAACATGGACAGGTTCTTTTCTCAAAGGCCCATGCATTTTCCCTGGGTGCAGGATCACCCCTCCCATTTGGTCATGATGTCTCCGTAGGCTCTTGGCCTACCTGTGACAGTTTCTGGGACTCCCCTCAGCCTCGGGGCCTTGACGGTTTTGCAGAGAGCTGGCTGGGTATTTTTGCAGGACATCCCACTATGGAGAGTTATCTGATCTGTCAACGGCATGTGAGGGGCCACTCAGACACAGGCTTTGTGTGAGAAAAATCTTTTTTCCTGTCCAGGTGTGAGCAAGGACTGAAATCGGGGCAGATTTCAGCAGTTGGCTGGGAAAGAAAACCTAGTTGATATAGGGTTTGGGAGGGGGCTGTGATCATAAGGAATGTTTATGATCGAGAGTCCAAGGATGTTCAGCTCAGGTGTGCAGACAACCACAGGATTTCTTGGCACCGAGAGATTGTATATTCTCTTTCTCTTTTATTTTTTGGGGTACCGAGGATTGAACTTGGGTCCTTGTGCTTGCGAGGCAGGCAGCGGAACCACTGAGCTAAACCCCTGGCCATCTCCTAAATTTTCTTTATGGCCCTCTGTCCTTTTACTGAGAGCAGCCTGTTGTGTGTAGAAAGCAGGACATTTCCTGTGGAGGTCTCCTTGAGGTCAGGCATGACATAATCCTCTCCTCCTAGTTACAGTGGGCTCTGGTGCTGAGGGAGACAGACCAGAGCACAGTGCCATTCTGTCACCTCCTGTCTATGTGGCTTAGCTCGTAACAGCTTCATACTTCGTTTTATTTTTGCAGAACTTGGTGCCTCCTGCATGCTAAGCATGTGCCCATCCCCAGCCCAACTTAGAATTAATTTACCCAATTTATGAGTAAGTAATAATTAGAATATTCAATGGAATTCTGGATTCTTTTTTCAGTCTGGGGAGGGAACCCAGGGCTTTTGCACATGCAAGGCAAGTGCCCAGCCACTTGGCTGCCCTCAGCCCCGCCTGTGCTTTTGAGATCTGGTTGCGTCCTCCAGAGCTGGCGTGACTGGTCTCATTTCCCAGAGGAGAAGACTGACCTCAGAGATAATGCTGGCTGGGTCTCACATCCCAGGAGGCCTCTCCAGGTCTTCTGAGTCTCCTCATTGTTTGGCTTGTTTACAGTGTTTTGGGTTCTGATAAATAGCACTGCGGTGCACAGCCTTTTGGTCCTCTCAGGTGACTTCCTGAGGGTGTGGTCCCCAAAGAGGGTCTGTGGGTCAACAGGGGCCCCTAGTCACACTGCCAGTGTGCTCTTTACCGTAAGATGGAACCGTTTCCAGGTTGTGAGCGCGCCCTGCACGGTTCACCCACTTCCTCTCTGAGGTGCTCTGCATTTGTCATTTTTATTTGTTTTGCCTGGTTCCTTTGTCACACACTTCTTTACCACCCCGGCGTTGGAGGGCTTGGCACATGCAGTTAGCTGTCCACAGAACTCGAGGTTACTCTTCAAGGATAAAGATCTGGCTTCGCTGATGTGATTTTTAAAAATGTGGTAATTTGGGTAGTGGTCAGTGGTGGCCTCCAGGGAACAAGCCACAGCTACCAGAACATGTGGTAGGCACAAGTGTAACATTGCGACCCGGTTGTGTCTCATCTTTTGAGTATCATCTGGTCTTTTTCCCCCACCAGACTCTGCTGCTGGTGACCTTGGATGAGATATCACGAAGGGCGTGTCTGCATTTCTTTGATCCCATCACAGGAGGCTGAGGCAGGAGGGTGACGAGTTCAGGCCCAGCCTCAGAAATTTAGTGACTCGGCAAAACCCTGTCTCAATAAACTAGAAAATTTACAGAGGATCCATAGCCCCGTGTTTGATCCTCAATACCACACACACAAAAAAAGAGCGCTTCCCAAACCCAGAGAGGGCCCCACAGCGTGTTCACTCTGTGTCGCCCTGGTCTTTTGTCTTTTTGGTTGGTTGGTTGATCTTTGATTGTCAGCTAGGACTCAGGGCTCCCGGTTCCTGGAGCTGCTGGAGGCAAAAGCTTCAGGGGTGGCTCGGTGCCCCGCTGGCCGCACAGCTCTCAGCACACTCCTGTCTGGTACGTGGCCTCCCGGAGGTGTGGGGGCTGCATGTCCCAGAGGATGGGCCTGGCCGGGGCTGCCTTGCCTGGGAGGAGTCGATGCCGGGGGCCACCCCCGCCTCCCGCACACGGCCAGTGAGGCACTGTTAAGTGTCACCCTAGGCTCCGTCATGGCCCTTGTGTGACCCTGGGGCGCCCTGGTGCGGAGGGCAGGGGCTTGAGACAGGCAGGTAAAGGTCGTGCCACAGAGGCTGGCATGGAAGGAAGCGAGGTGACCTGGAAGGAAGAGGCTCTTGTCCTCTCAGTCATCTGCTTGAGGATCTCCAGTGGGTTTTGTGCGGCCTCCAACCCCGAGAGGCTCCCTGGGGTGGGTGGCAGCAGCCGCGGATCCACTCTGGCCCTCAGAGGCCACCTGGGCTGCAGTCAGGGCACGCGCCTCTCCTGAACCAGTTGCCACGCTCATGCTGGGGGGCTGGGGAGGGGTCCCAGTGGCCTTTGGCGTAGTCCCTCACTCGAAGAGTGTCGAGTAACAGAGGGAGTGAGGGGGGTTCCTGGTTATCCAACCACAGCCTGAGCAGTGAGCGCTGAGAGGTGACCGCTGACCCTTCACCTGGCCCACTGAGCTCCGGGTTGAGGACCCCCAGGCCAGAGCTCCGTGCCACCACCTGTGACAGTGGGGTGCCGCTCAAGGATGGGTGGGCAGGGCCAGGACGAGGCTGCCAGACTCCTGGATGAGATGCTATTCTTTTGCTTCTTACAGATTCCAGATCCAGGAGGAGCCTGACAGTAAGTACCATTCCTCACCTGCGCCCTGCTTTGTGCCCCGAATCCCATTCCTCTCCTACCAGATCTGCAGTTTCTCAGGCTGCTGGGGCAGGGGAGGCACTGGGGACCCCCCACCCGGTGCCCAGGGATCAACCCTGTGGAGAGTGGCAGGCACAGGGCCGAGCCTGGGCCGCAGCGGACCTTGGCCAGGGACCCAGCCCCACCCCGGGCAGCTCCTGGCCCGGACACAGGGGATTTTCCAGAAGGACTTGCTGACGGTAATTAGGTTTTGGCCGCTTTGGGCACCAGGTCTGGTCAGGGAGGACGAGGTGCAGTATATTTTCCCCTTTCCTTCTTCCCTCCATGAGTCTCATCCCCGAAGGTGGTGACAAATCGGCAGCAACAACTTTTTAAAGATTGGCTCCCGCACTTGCACTGGACCCAGTGCTGGGTACCAGTGTGCTTTGCAGAAGCTGTTCTTGGGGTTTGTTTTGTTTTTTCATTTATTGTGTTTTTTTGTTACTTTCTTTTAATCCCAGCATTCCTGTGCTAAGTTCCTGTTCTTCAAACACAAATACAGAACCACAGTTCAGTTTCAAGTGATGCAATTGCTCACATTCAAATAGGCCAGGATGCCAGGCGTGGTGGAGCATGCCTGTAATCCCAGCACTCGGGAGGCTGAGGCAGGAGGATCGCTGTGAGTTCGAGACCAACCTGGACTACACAGTGAGCTCCAGGTCAGTCTCAACTACACAGTGAGACCCTGTCTCAAAAAAACAAAAACCAAAACCAAACAAACAAAAAAATCAAACCAAAACAAAACAAAACAAATAGGCCAGGATCTGACAAGTTGTTTCCATCCTGAGGAACTTCGTGAAAAAAGATATTTGATGATTTGTAAGATAGTGAAATATGCTGTTGCTGCAAGGGCCAACCCACATTCTACTCACTTATTTAAATGGGCAGTATTTTGGCCTTCAAATTACTATAAAAGAATATTCAAGATTATTGAGGTGGATATGTTTTCTCACTTTCTCAAACTCTTTTTAATTAAACAAAAATTTTTGGAGACAATGTCTTGCTATGTAGCCCAGTCTGGCCTTGAACTTATAGGGATCCTCCTGCCTCAGCCTCCCAAGTGCTGGGATTACAGGCCTGCATCGCCATGCCTGGCTCTGACTCCTTTTGAAGGCTGAGAGTGAATGTTATTTATCCCCATATGAGACCACCTTTCCTTTGTATTTATCTGTTAAGAGTAAAAACACAAACCAATACTCTCCTTAACACAGCACTGTTTTTGGAACACATTAGGGTCCACTAAGGTAAAAGGCTTCTGTTGCAGGAGGTCAGGGCTGGGGGCCTGGGCCTGGAAAGCTCCAGAAGGCAGGGGCAGCATTCAGGTTCCAGCCAGGCACTTACTCTGTGACCCTGGGTGAATTACTCCACTTCTCTGTGTCTGTTTCCTCAGCTAGAAGAGGGGCAGATGCAGCTGACATTTAGGGGTTGGGAGGATGAACAGGTCTGTGCCTCAGAAGCAGACAGGTATGCCGGGAGCTGACTGCAGCTTCATTTGTGCAGAGTGAAGGCAACCGGTGTCCCCAGAGAGACCGCCGGTGGGCGCTTGTGCTGTCAAGGCTGAGAAGCCCCAGAGTGGCCTGGGGCAGCTCTAAAGCAGAGGGGAGGTCCCCAGGTTGGAGGTGGGGAGTCGGAGCGGCGGGGTGGGGGGTCCTGTCTCAACACCGCTCTCCCTCTGCAGTGGCCCAGGAGTGACGGGTCGGGGACAGAGCTGGGCACAGGAGTGCTGAGTGTGGCGAGCCCTCCGGTCGTGGAGACCTGCGCCAACGTGGGGGCCGCCTGCCCCGAGAGCCTGCTGCTGCTGGATGCCAGCCCTCCTGAGGGTGCCTCACCTCCTAGGGATCCCCCTGAGCCCCGGGTGTCCGCAGAGCACACCAACAACCGCATCGGTGAGTCAGCCTGCTTGTGGGGTCCAGGGGCAGCCAGGGGGGTGTGGACCGTGGCTGGGAACCAGGGCCCAGGGGGCAGATGTGGGTGCCCCAGCCCACAAGGTGGGCTTGGCCCTGTCCAGGTATGGGCTCTGCCCAGGTGGAGTGGCAGGAGTGTGTGCTTCTGGGGCCACTGAGACTCGTGACAGTCTGAGCCCTTGGTGCCATCCACGGTACCGTGTCTGTTTTATTATTCTTATTCTTTTTTGGGGGGTTGTACTGGGGATCGAACTCGGTAACTTGGGCTTGTAAGGCAGGTGGCAGCACCACTGAGCTACATCCCCGGCCCATGTCTGCTATTATAAAAGAGTAGGCGAAGTCCCTCCCCCAGTCACCAACATGGAGCACCTGAGGGGCAGGAGGAAGACATACTGGGGACTTGAGGATGTGGTTCAGGGTTCCTAACCTGGCCACAGCCAGCCGTCCTGTCCATGTGCCCTTCTGACCCCCTCGTCTGCTTTTCCCATTTGTGGACCCTTCTTCCCTCTCAGCGCCTCTGCACGAGCCACTTCTGCACCCAGAACAGCCAGGAAGCTTCCCTGCCTCTCCACACCCCAGATTCCGGGTGCCCCTCTGCTCTGTGCAGAGAGCCCGGCTTTCCCCGCCCAGTGTCCCCAGCTCCCGGCAGTGTGACTGTCACACCCTCGCTCACCGTCCTGCTCCGGCATCCGGCCCTTGACCGGTGTGGAGAGGCATTTGTGACGGTCCTGGTCCCCCACATTCCGGCTGCAGGCGCCAGAACTGCAGGGCGTCTCCCGTCTTGAACAGAGTTTTGCAATTGTAGTTTTCAGTAAGTTGTATTAGAAAAGAATGTATTTTGGGAAATTCTGCCAAGGGCTTCTTCAGATTTCCTGAGAAGTCCTAACTGCAGAGCCTGGAAGTATGGGGTGAGGGAGTGGGGCGGCCTTGCCCAGCCTCCTGCCAGCCTCTTGGGGGCACAGGGAGCCCTGGGAAGGCCTTGGGGGCTCCCTTAGACACTGAGATGCAGGTGACCCCTTCTCCTCCTGATACCCCATCCACTTCCTAAGCAGGATGAAGCATGGGTCGGATTTTACCCTTGTGTACTGGGCACCAGGGGGGAGCCTCCCCTTTCTCTCCCATCACAACAGCTGCCTGGTGCTCTGGGAAGCCCTAGCAGCCCTGGAAGACCCCACAGCTATGGGCGGGCACCCCAGGATCGAGCAGAGCCAGAGCCCCGCCTGGCTTCCTCTAAGACCAACCCAATCCCCACACCCTGCTGTGTTGCTGCTGTCTCTTCCCAGTCACCTTTGACCCTGAACTCTTGCCTTGGCCCTGAACTCTCTGATCGGGACTCAGGCCTGGATAGAGGTTGTGGTCTGAGGCCTGGGTCTCTGGTTTCTGTTTGTCCCTGAGCTGGTCTCTTCCCTTTGCCTGGCCCCCGGTTCTGGCTATTTCTACTATTTCTCTTTCCTGTGGGAACCAGAAACCCTAATAGCAGAGCTGACATTGTGCAATGAGGTTGAGGATATCAGGGCCCCTGGGAATCTTTTTGAGGTTCCTGAATCTGAAGGGTGTAACCAGGTTACCCAAAGAGGTAGGTGTCCCTGAGGCCCCTTTCCCGCACACCCCTACTTTCAAGTTCCCTCTTGAGTTTCCGCCTGCAGTCTCCAGGGTCTGGGGCAGGACAGCTGAGAGCTGGAGCCGGGCGTGAGTGTGCAGCCATCAGCGCCGGGCCTGGCAGGCAGATCTGGCAGCCCTGGCCCCAGCCCCGGGTTCCCCTCCCTCCGGCTTCTCGAGCGCTGCCTGCCTCCCCTGAGCCTCCAAATCCTCATGACGGAGCCCCCATGCCTGCCCTCTGTGCCCACTCTGCGCTCGCAGGACACCCTGAAACAATGGCTGTGACCCACTGAGGGGGAGGTGTTGCCTACACTGAGGGGCTCCCGGGAGGCGGGGCTTTCCATCCCAGGCAAACAGGGACAGCTGGTCACCCAGGGTCTGCTTCAAGCATGTGGCTGGAAGCAGGAAGGGCAGCCAGGCAGGGTGGGGGCTTCCTTTGGGATTTCACTCGGTGACCTTAGGGAGGTCCCCATCTGTGCAATGGGGATGGCGTCGGTAGCATCTCCAAGTTGGTGTGTGACCGTGACAAGAGCCGGACAGACGCTCAGCTGTGCTGCCTGCCTTAGTCCCATTGCCACCCTGTGCCGCCGGCTTTCTCTGTGTCTCTCCAAACTGTCCCCGAAGTGCCTCGGAGGTCACCTTAAGGAGCAGGTGCCTGGCTCTGCATCAGTCACACAGCAGGAGTTGTGCGAGGGACGTGGCCCCTCCGCCGTCCCCTTGCTCTTGTCTCGGGGCTCTGGTCTCCCGCCTCACCCAACCCTTTGCCTTCCAGAGAAAATCTACATCATGAAGGCCGACACGGTGATCGTGGGGAGCGTGAAGTCGGAGGTGCCCGAGGGCCGGGGCGCTGTGGGGCTGGCAGGGCCTGGGCTGGAGGCAGAGCTGGAAGTGGACCAAGCCCCCCGCTACCCCGAGCAGGAGACAGAGCCGCCCCCGGGCAGCTGCGGGGGTGTTGTCATGCTCTCCGTGGAGGAGGAAGGGAAGGAGGAGCCCTGGCCCTGCGGGAAGTGAGACTGGACTGGACCAGGGCGGCGGGTGGCGGGGGTCCTAGGAAGCCAGAGAGGCCCTGGCGATGCTCCGCTGGTGGGTAGAGGCCACCAGGCTTGGACTGAGGTCCTGGCATCCCACAGTGGACCAGCGATGGGCACTCTGCCTCCTGTGGCCACCGAGAGTGCTGGCCCCAGACCTGGCCCCAGACACTCAGCGCCAGAGGGGACACGCGGCTGGTCCCGTGCACCCCCGTGCCCTCCGCTCTCCCTGGGCCTCGGCAGTGATGCCCATCGGCCGTGCTGGCCCGCTCCCAGCCCCCATCAGCCTGGCTCCCATGGGCTGCAAGCCAGCACTGTGGCTTTCTCCTGAGTCAGAAGGGAAGTCGAGCGATGGGGCGGTGGTGGTGCTGGCACCCTCTGGGCTGCACCTGTCACACTGCTCTCTGCGCTGGGGAAAGAGGCCCAGCCTGGCCCCCAGACTGCTTGGGCCCGGTGAGACCTGCGCCTGTTCCGTACCCGCCAGATGAGCCCAGGAACCGTGCACTCATCTCCAGATGTCCCTGCAGTCCACACAGCAAGAGGATTTTGAGACACAGCTGCGCATAGGCCTGCAGCAGCTCTAGTGCCAGGCGCAAGCTGGAGATCCAGCCCCGGCTGGAGACCCCGTCCACTCAGCTGCTGTGGAGAACGGCCTGCCCTGCTCTGCCCAGGGACTTCTCCCGGTGAGGAGACCAAACAGCGGCCCTTCCTGGACTTCTCTGCCGCCCCATCCAAGCAGTCTTGGGAATGCAGAGGCATCTGTCCTAGATCCTCCGTGCTTGTGAAGCCGTCTGCCCCAGCCCTGTACCCGCAGGTGTGGGCACTGGAAAGCCCCTGGTCACACGGATGCCTGGCCTCCCTCTGCACCACAGGGAAAGAGAGTGCTTGGTGGTTGCACCTGGATTCCGGGCGCTCTGCGGTACACATGAAGGAACGGAATTGCTCCGACACCCAGCCCTCAGCCTGCTCTCCGGGCCTCTTCAGTAAACAAGTGGTGATGACACATCTATGGGTCAGTCGCGAGGGGACCCCTGGACTTACCAGTGGGCCGGGAGGCTGTGTTTACTCAACAGCCATCTCTGTGGAGGAAGTTGAGGCTGCCTTGGGAGTCAGAAAAGTAATTTCTGAAACCACTCAGATGTTTGGGGGAAAGTTGGAGCGGCTGGGCCATGTCACACCAGGGCCTGGACGTGGGCCAGGAGGACTTTGAGTGTCTGTCATTGTCCCAGGATGGGATGGAGCTCAGCACGCTGCAGTGCTGCAGCCAGGAGGAACACGTGGGCACCACAGGGCGTGCTAGACTTGGCCAAATAAGGCAGGCCCTCACCCAGTGTCCCCTGCACAACTTTTAACAGTCTAAAAATCCATAAGATCCTTTACAAAGGGTGCATCTCGTGGCCCAGCGGCGATCACGGAGAGAGCATTTGAGAGGCTCGGGGCGGGAACATCAGAGGAGTCTCTCCCCGCGGCTGGGGTTCCTTCTGCACCCCAACACCCATGGCCAGGGGCAGGAGCTGCTCCCCGCAGGGGCTCCCCCTCTCCTCTCACAAAGCTCTTCCTTATCCGGTGAGGCTGCTTCTCGCTCTGTGTAACCCCATTTCCTGGCCCGCAGCCTACCCTTGGAGGACACTCAGAATGTCATAGGCTCATCCTGGGCCGCCTCTGGGTGCCTGCAAGAAAGGATCAGAACCTCTCTGGAGCCTCCTTCTCCTTCCCAGGCTGGCTGAGCGGCTTGAAAAAGGAGGCTACCGATGGTGGGCGGGGCCCAAGCCCAGGACAGCAGGGCGAACTGTGAGTCTTGGGCTCTGGGGCTGAGCTGGAGGGACCCCAATCTCCCCTGGGCACAGCTCAGGCGGCTCCCTTGACTTTGGCTCTCAGGTGGGGCAAAGACCAAGGGCCATGGGCAGACCTTGCCCCCCATCCCAGGACCTCCCTCACCCCACAGCCTGGCACCTTCAGCCCAGGGGACAGGGGACAACTATATATTTGGGTCCATCTTGACCTCTGATCACTTTGATGTCCCCCAGGAGATGCACAAGGCCCCTGATCTGCTAGGTAGCAATTCCTAGGCTGCAACCCCCTGCCCCATCTTCCCAGCTGATATAAGCAGGAGTAAGTGTCCTACAGAAGTTATCATTTTCAAGGAAAAACCACTGTTGGGCTGGGGATTTAGCTCAGTGGCTAAAGTTAGCCACACCTGCCTCGCAAGTGTAAGGTCCTGAGTTTGATTCCTGGTACTAGAAAATACCCCTCATTGTTTTCCAAGTCAGTGAACTGTTCCTCACTTCCTAGAAGCTCTGAGGCCTGTTACCAGTCCCCAACATAGAACAAGAAGAAGACCAATCTTCTCCCCACCAGGATGCCCCAGGACCTAGGACTGGGTCCTGGCCAGTTGTCCCCTGGTCACCGGGCACTCCCGTGTAGAAGGGTTGGAGTTCTGCCTTCTTGCCTGCAGAGGGGTTGGCTCCCTGGGCGAGAGCCAGGTTGGAATCCCAGCTGTGCTAGGGTTTGTTCCTCTCTGACCTCTCTGAGGCTCGGAAGTTTGGCTCATTCTCTGTTGCTCTGACACCACCTGAGCTGGGGGAGTTTCTGAGGAGCTCTGGGAGGCTATGTCGAAGTGGGAAGACAGAGGTGTGTTAGGTGTGAGTGAGGGGCGGGACACCAGGGCCTCCCGTTTCTACAGCCCACTCTTGTGCTAGGTGGTCCCATCCCTACTCAGTGGGACACAACAGCCCCAAGAGTGTTCGGTGCCGTGAGTGACCCGAACTCCTCTTCAGGGCCCCACCACAACACAGTGGCAGTCAAGTTAAAAAGGAGTTGTGGAGGGGACAAACCATAGCTTTCACTTTCCTTGGCTGTGAAATGGGAGTATCAGTTCCTGCCTGATGGAGTCATGAATCCTCCAAGATGTCACCTGACCTGTGATGTGCACTCCCTGACCCACAGCTCTGTCTCATTCCATCCCAGGAGCCAGCGCTTCCTACACCCAAATTCAGCCCAGCCCTGCTTACAAGGGTCACCTGCAGGTGACACTGGAGTCGGGGAAGGTGTCCCCAAGGACTCTGGTCTCCATCCAAGTGATGTACCAAGCTAACAAGGTCTGAAAGGCAGGAAGTGGCTCGTGCAAGGGCCCTGGGGTGAGAAGGCTGCTGGCCATGCCATTTGGGAAGAGCACTGGATGGGGCAGCTTGGTGAGTGAGGTGGGGAGTGATGGGAGGTTCTCAGGGGCAGATTGTCGTGGAGCCTGGCAGGGTGAGCCGTTGTGAGGTGTCAGATCTTATCATAGAGCACCACTAGATGTTTACTTCTGTTTTCCCCACTATTAGAACAATGAACATCCTGGTATTATCCCAGCCCTGAGTGAGAATGGCAAAGCCCCAGATACTGGCAGTTATATTAACCTATTTCAGGAGGAAGCTGGGGCCACTGCAGCAGTTGTTGGCAGCCAGGAAGCACTTGGATGTGTTTTCCAGAAAGGGCAGGGAGCGAAGATAATGTTCCCAGTTACCGTCCCGGCTGTGGGGCTTGCTTGTTGCTGCCTGGGGAGGGTAGGAGTCATTCCTATAGTTTCCTCTTTCTTTAGCGGTCTTTTAGGGAAAGCGAAAACCAAGGGAAAAATCCCTGTGGAGGCTGAAGCCTTTGTTTGTGTTCTGGCCCCGTGACTGCTTCCCAAGGTCTGAGTTTGTTATCACAGCCAGCAGAGTCTGTCTCTGTCTTCCTAATTCCAAAACCAGAGAAGGATCCAACCAAGCAGGAGAATTACAGGCCTCTCTTCCTAATGAACACAGATGCAAAAAATCCTCAATAAGATACTGGCAAACAGAAGGCAGCAGATCATCAAGATTATACGCCATTGGGCTGGGAATGTAGCTTACTGGTCTGCCTGGCAAGCAGAAAGTCCCGAGTTTGATATCTGGTACCAAACAAAACAAGACAAAAGATTATATGCCATGACCAAGTTGGATTCATCCCAGGGATGCGAGGATGATTCAACAAATGTAAATCGATAAATATAATACACTATATTAACAGAGCCAAGGACAAAAACCATATGATCATCTCAAGAGATGCAGAAAAAAGTTCAACAAAATCTAACACCCATTTATGATGAAAAACACAAGAGAAAATTGGAATAGATGGCCTTTATCTCAATGTGATAAAAGCCATCTATGACAAACCAACAGCCAACATCATATTAAGTATAATTTTTTTCTTTCTTTTTTGGTACCAGGGTTTGGACTCAGGACCTTGTGCTTGTGAGGCAGGCAGCATAACCACTGAGCTAAATTCCCGGCAGCCAACATCATATTTTTTTTTCTCATTGAGTTTATTGGTACATTTTAGGTATACAGTACAGTTACATTCATCATTGGGATCTTGTAACTTTACATGACAGGTCTTGGTTCTCATTTTTTTTCCCTTTACCCCTGAGCCAACATCATATTAAATGGACAAAAACTGAAAACTTTCACTCTAAAATCAGGAAGGAGACAAGGACATCCACTGTCACTACTCTTGTTCAACATAGTACGGGCAATGTTAGCCAGAGCAATTAAACAAGAGAAAGAAAAGGAATAAGGATAGGAAAGGAAGAAGTTCAATTATCATTATTTGTGGATGACATGATACATAGAAGACCCCAAAACTCCACCAAAAGACTTTTATATTTGATAACCAAATTCAGTGGCATAGCTGGATACAAAGCCAACACTCAAAAGTCAATAGTTTTCCTGTACACAAATAACGAATGGAAGAGAGAGAAATTAGAGAAACAATCCCTTTCACAATAGCATCCAAAAAAATGAAATACTTAGAAATCAATCTAATGAAGGAAATAAAAGGCCTCTACATTGAAAACTACAGTACTCTGAAAAAGGACATTGAAGATGATGTCAGAAAAAGGAGCCAGCTGTGGTGAAGCACACCTGCGATTCCTGCACTCCGAGGGCTGAGGCAGGAAGATCATCATGAGTTCGAGACCAGCCTGGGCTACATAGTGAGTTCAAGGCCAGCCTGAACTAATAGTGAGAACTTGTCTCAAAAAAAAAAAAAGATATTTCTTCTTGGGTAGGAAGAACCAATATAGTGAACATAGCCACGCTTCCAAAATTGTTATACAGAATCAATGCAATCCCAATCAAAACCCCAACAGAATATCTCACAGAATTAGAAAGAAAAATCCTAAAATTCATTTAGAACCAGAAGAGACCTGGAATAGCAAAGGCAGTTCTGGGCAACAAAGGCAAGGCAGGGGCTATCACAATCCCTGACCTGAAATTTTACTGATAATGATTTCTGAGCAAAAGAAAAAGACTTTTCCTGCAGCTAAAGAGCTACCCCCAGCTCATATCTTCTCCCACACATGACACACGTCTTCCTTCATTGTCCTTTGTTCTCAGGAAGTGTCTGTCTCCAGTGTACTTTTCTGTCAAATCATGTAAACTACATGGAACCTCCTCGACCAATGAACTGATGACAAGTGCCTTGCTTCTGTATCCCCACCTGTCTTCCCTTGACCCATGTAAACCCTGTTCACTGCCACCTCCGGGCTGACTGCTTTGTGGAGAAATCCCTGATCAGCCTGTGTGCATAATAAAGCTGTACATTTGCCCCCAACCTTGGGTGCGTTCTGGATTCTTCTTGGCCTGATCTTGCTATTCCACTAAGAGCTGCCACACTGTGGACTGTAACTCTGCCATTTCGTTTGGTGCATTGGCCGGGAAAATCAACCATGCTGATTGTTTAGAATTATTGGTTGAAGCCCTTGATGAGGGAGTGGGGACCTCCCTGGCCCCTCGACGGGATAGTGCATCCTCAGAGATTTTTCTGAGTTCCCTCGGGGGACGGGATGAACTGCTCACAGCCTGTGGTTTTTCTGGACCCAGAAGGAGTGAGGATGATCATCTGGTTTAGATCAATCTGATCACTGGATAAAATAAGAACCCCCAGGGGCACCGTAGTTAATCTGTTTAATCCTGCTTCTGCTGGGACAGAAGGAGAGCTTGGCCACCCCTCCATGAGAACAAAGATTTCTCCATTGTTTTTGGTTGAGTTTCAGTTTCGGCCTGCTAGCCTGAGGAGAGAGAATCTCTGGAAAGCGGGTTGGGATGTTTAACCTCTGAACGCCTGGAGAGTGTGAATGTGAATGAATGCAACTGGATACCATCCTCAGTACCTAGCCCATGTGGCTCCATGTAGAAGAGAGAGGGAAGAGAGATGTGATCTCTCTTGGGCCTAAGGAGTCTGACTGAGTTTGTTTTGCGATTCCACGGAGACATCTAAGAAAGGCCAAGTGGGGCCTCTGGCAACAAGGTAAATATCCGCTCAAGCCTGGACAGTTCTTAAAGTGGTTGAGAGGCCCGCAGCCAGATAAACACTTGCTTGTTCCCTCTCTCAGGGGAAGGGCACCCATTCTTTGTCTGTTTGTGACACTGAAAAAGGGAACACCACACACACCTAGGAAGCTAGCCAGAATAGGTGTGAGTAGGGCCAAGCCCACGATGTTAGGCTGTGTGCTAAAAAATTTTAGAGAGGGCTATTCTGGTAATTATGGAGTAAAAATGAAACCCCAGAAGCTGTGCACCTTCTGCGAGATTGACTGACTAAAATAGCCCAGAATGGCCACCAGAGGGGACTCTGAATACAGGCATTGTCCATCAAGTCTGGAATACAGGCATTGTCCACAAAGTTACTGAGACCAACAGAGAAGGCCACCCTGATCAGTTCCCTTGCATAGACTCCTAGCTTAATCTTTGTTTAAACCTGCTGCTATGACTCCATCTTTGCACTGTGAAAAGACCAGGAGCCATTTTAATCATGCAGAGGAGCCGTGCCAGCCCTAAAAACTATGGTGAGAGGAGCCGCTCGGCAGCTGTCCAAGAATAGCCCTAACCAAAGAGACTTTGTCCAGTCTTCCCAGAGGATCCTTCTCAGGAAGAACCAGACCTGCCTCCATCTTATGTGCCACGACCTCAAGCCACAGTACCAACACCTCCATCTCCTCTGGTGCTGCCCTGAGTCCTATGCCAGCATTTCCTGATTCTACTCCCAGTTGCTGCCATCACAGCCAGTGGCTGCACCAGCCCATCTTCTGGTGATGTCACCCAACTTCACCTCTGTGCCACCCTCCTGTTTCCAGGGCCTGCCCCCACATCAGGAATGGTGCCTGTTCCGGTTCTGGTTTCTGCCTTGGCACTTCTGTCACCGGAGCCCGCCTCTGTGCCATTAATAGTGCCTGTCCCTGTTCTTGTCCCCAGCTTTCTACTTCTGACACCACTTGCTCCTCTGGTCTCATGGTGACTGATTTCTAACATTGCACCTGGAAACATGGCTAATCCCTATTCAAATGACACCACCTGGTACTGTTTCTCCACTGGCTCCAGTGTGACCAAACCTGGCCTCCGTCACATCACCCATGACATGGTACTGTTTTTCTACCTCCTCCACTCCATTTAGCTTCTGATATTCAGTTAGGATCCTGGCTGCCTCCACCAGAGCCGTGCAGGGCTTCCCCTCAGACATCTCCAATTGGCCATACTGGCTCACCTTCCAATGCTGTTGTGTGACTATCCAGGAATTCTCCCGGTGCCTGGCCAGCACCCCTGAGATATCACCAGCCTTTCAGCACCAACAACTCTCTGAACTGGAAAAGCCACAATCCCTCTTACACTGAGAAGCCACAGGGAATGACAGAACTGGTATCCTCCATCTTTTGAACTCACCAGTCTACTTGGGATGACTGTCAACAACTCCTTATTGACCCCCTTCAGCACAGAGAAATGATGTCAGATATTGGATGGAGCCCAAGCCTGGATAGAGGTCCAAGTCCCTCTTGTTGCCAGCCCAGACCGCTGGGTTTCTGAAGTTCTGCCAAGAACCCGACCAGACTAAAACCATAACACACAGAGAGGACTAGAAGCCTTAAACTGGTACTGGAATGCCTTCTTATTGGGTCTTTAAAAGGGTGGAAAAAGGCCTATAAACATGCCAAAGGTAACAGCCATCATCCAAAAGTCAGAGGAAAGCCCAGCTTTCTATGAGAATTCTATGAGAGATTGTATGAAGCCTACCTAGTCTATACACCCTACCACCCTGAAGCCCCAAAACATCAACAAATGGTTAGCGTAGCCTTCATTGCCCAGTCAGCTGATATTCAAAAAAGACCCAAAAGATGGAGGACTTTTTAGGCATGAATGCAACTCAGTTAATTCAGATTGCCCAAAAGGTTTTTGTAAACAGAGAAAGAGAAGAAAAGAGAGAGCACTGATGTGAGGCTGACTGCTGAGATCCTCAGAAGGCTGGCTTTCTCGCAGCAGTTTTAGAAAAGGCACCTCCTCCTGAGGCACAAAATGTCGAAAAGCTCTACCAGCAATCGAAAGGATCCCAGGGACCGTACTATTTAAAAAGATAACACTGGAAGACCATTCTCTTTACACACCAATGTGCCTACTCTGAACAACATGGTCACCAGAAGCACAAGTGACCATTTCTACAAAAAAAAAAAGATATAAGCCAGTCCAGCCCAGCCCAACCTAAGCCTCTCTTGGCCTTGTCCAGTCTGGATGACTAGGACAGACCAGGCTCTATCCTATCAGGCTCCCAAGAGCCCATGGTTATGGCAGAAATAGGGGGCAAGCCTGTGATTTTTATAGTGCACAGTGGAGCTGAACGTTCAATTGTAACTCAGCTTGTGGCCCATTGGGACCTCGATGGGTCTGAGTGGTTGGAGCCTCTGGAGTTCCATCCAGGAAAAACTTCTGCTTAAGCCGGTCTTGTGAAATTGGAGGACATTTAGTCAAACATAAATTCCTGTAATGCCTAAAAGTCCCATTCCTC